TAGGATTATATGAATAGTAAATCCATGCTTTGTGAGATACATTGCAGGTTGTATACTAAACGTTGTAAAATGTCACCACCTTATTACATTACTTTGCATGCAGATATCGGCAATGCTGAGGATGCGATTAAAAGAGCACAAGACACATTAGCTGAAGCTGAAAGATACCTCAATGAGAAAGGACAGGAAGCTTTAGACAAAGCTGCCGATGCTGCCAAAGATCTTGGATCACAGTCAGAAAAAATGACTAAACTGGCTAAAAAAGCTAAAGAGGCTGCTGAGCAGTAAGTCATAACATCTAATTTACGTATATCTCCTATCATTTATTGATTTTGACATAGAACTAGAGTGCTTAATATATTTGCTGTTACGAACAATAAAATAGTTGTAATATTTTGAAGCGAAACTTAAGGCTACTAAGGCAAAACCCACTTTATGTAAAAGACTCCACCATTAGCCAGAGGCAATGCTCATACTCCATTACAACAGAGCATTTATTCACCTGTATTGAAGATTTGCAGGTTCAAGTTCACATGATATTTTGTTTGATTATGACAGTGACACTGCAGGCTAGAGTTTATAAATGCTGCACATTGTCAACAGATCTCATTTTCAATTTGTGAAAAGTGACATCACATTTCCAGTTCATGGTATTATAAGTAAATAAGTTGTATGAAATGCATACTTTGAGGATTATTCGATTTGTTTTATAACAACAAACTAAGAACTAGGACAACAAAATGGCGGATAATTATTTCCCATTTGGGAAAAAATACCCCATGGCACAGAAACTTGCAAATTGTCTACTGCTATGACACAATGAATGTTTTGTTTTTTAAATCTGAAGAGTTGTGAATTCAATGTTGTTTGTTTTCTACATTCCAGACAAACTGAAGAAGCTATGGAGATTGATGGAACGGCCAATGAAGCACTTGACACATCTAAAGAAGCGTTGAAATTGGCGCAGGATGCCTTGGACAAACAGGATGACATCTCAGATAAAATAGACATGTTGAAAGACAAGTAAGAAATTCCAGTTATTACATTGTATATAATGAATACCGTAAAATTCCTAATTGAGGCCGCGGCTTTAATTAAAATTAATTTTTTCAATGGACTAATTTAGATGCGTAAAGTCTTGGTGCGGCTTTAATTAGAGCATTCACTTCGATAACAGTGGGAATTTTTTTCAAAAAACAAAGGCCAGACGGGATAATGGTATGCTAATTTGTAGCGATTCTAAGCGCACTTTCGGATTTTTACACACAGAAAAACTTGTACACAAATGAAATTTCACACTGTATAACATACTGCACAATAAATAATATCTACAAATAGATTTGTATGCATTTGCAGATTACGGTACTGTGTACTACAATCTCTTGAATAGACTAATTCGTTAGCATCGGTATAGGTCACAACTGAGAGACAGCCATCTGACACAGTCGATAGCGTTCGACTACTGACATGTTCGACTTCCGGCAGAGTGACTGTACATTTTAATTTAGACATCGGGGAAATTAAAATAAAAAAAAATAAAAAAAGTCAATCAAAAAAAAAATTTTCGCATGATAACAAAAAAAATACTCAGTATATTATTTAATGTAATATATATTTATTTTCTTATTTTTTTTGATAACAAAAAGTATATTCTAAAAGAAGTAAAAACAAAAACGAATGCATTCTTAGTAGCAAATGATCACTGTAAAGGTCATGCTGCGTTTCACACAAGTGAATAACTTACTTATTTTTGAAGTGTTACAATTGCTGATTATTACCCAGTAGTGATTACAATAACGTATAAAAAATAAGTTCGTTGAATTGTTATGAACATTCAACTTTGTTTCACCGCAAGCGAATGATTTCGGTCACATATAAACGCTTGATCCGATACGATATCCGCCATGTTTGTTCAAACATTTTTAGTGACTTGAAACTGTTTTTGACCTAATTAAGCAATCGAAACGCTGGATGGTGCCAACGTGATTAGTTTACCATAGCTCATTTAAATATGTTAATGTAGTTCAGTGACCTCATGGTAAACGAAACACGGAAGAGATTTACCGTTGTTGTAGTGCGATCGCTTGGCTTTGATTTTGATGAGAAAACGGCATGATTTTTTTTTAAATCAAGAAATTAGTTGTTTTCGAAAGATAAGCTGAGCATTGAAGAAAAATTTAACCCATTCACGCTACCCACAATAAACCTATACTCTGGAATAAGCCTCAATGAAGACAGAAAACCTAAATTAGACTCTAATCTAAGCTTCAGGAATCATTGAAATGTTCGAAAAATTATGCCTTAATTTAAAATTGAATGGTATATCTATTTCTGAAATATGTGGTGGCTGTTTGGTTTATGAAAGTTTGGGATGCGGCTTATATTGCAGGCTTTTCCTGGGATCAAAACTTGTCAATTTCATCATGAAACAATGTCTCAAGTTAGGGGTGCGGCTTCTATTAAAGCTGCGGCCTCAAATATGTCACTGCAATCATGAGTTATGAATTGTACAATCAACTAGTGCAGTACTTAAAAAGCCATCAACAAACTTTTAAATTCTGCAGGTGACTTGAAGTTAGTGCCGCTCTTTGAATCAACAATTGAAATAAATGTACTCCATTGAATGAAGTTCATGGAAAGTTACCTTTCATAGTTCCAAATAAGCAAAGCTGAGATTGTTTCACTATGTTATTTTCTCTTGATGGTATCCAGGTATGATGATATCGAAGCATTAGCTCAAGAAGCAATGGCTGTTGCCATGGAAGCACAGGAAAGAGCCAATGAACTGCTGAAGGAAGCTACAACAATCCTTGCTGATGCTAACTCCCCACTCCCAACTATTGATGTTGGACCACTGAAAGGAAATGCATCAGATATCATCAGAGGGGTAAGTATTCTACTCAATTTTATTGCAATGCAGTGATTGTGGACACATCTAATCATTCTCATTAGGTAATGTGATTACTGATTGTGTGTCCATTGTAATCTTAGCAATCAATACCTGCTGTGTGTGTATAAATGTCACCAAATGCTTACTAATATAATATTCACCAAACTGCCTACTGGTACAATATCTACTAATAAATCACCATGATATGCCCAGTAGTGATTGCATAACCATGACTTG